TACACAATGTAGCCATTAAATAAAATTAGCATTCCTTCTTCCTCAACTATGTGTTATCAAGTTTCAAAATGTTAAAAACTTCTCTGATGATTTAATCTGAAATCATTCCTACAGCAAAATTCATAAATAATAAATACTATCTTATTAATCCATATTTTAGTGTAGCTGGGTCTGAGAACAAGTTAGCTCCTCAGGGAATACCCTGTTCTTTATGAAAGAAGGTGATGAGACACAATCTCTGAGGAATTAAATTGTGAAAACAATCTTAGTATTGTACATGCTAATGTAAATCTGTTATTCCCTTCCCTCATCTATCACAACACATTTTAAATTGTGGCTGATCATGTATGCAAATAGCTCTCTTATTAGAAATTGCGTCTGTATGTGCTAATGTCTCCCTGGATTTCTTGGGAGTTTGCTATCTAAGCATCAAAGCAATAGAACTGAATGATGATTACTGCAAGGCTTTGAAGAACAAAGAAATGTCAGAACCCTTTAGAGGTTCTAGATGTCTGAGGCACTGGCAGTTTGCACTGTACAGATGAATGGGTATCTCTTTATATTATTTTAAATACCTTCAATGTGTTTATTAGTAAAGTATTTTTCACCTCCATATGTTGTTCTTTTTACAGCTAATGAAATGTAAGTCATTTCTGGAAACTGCTTTCTATCGTCATTTTTTTGTTTCACTGTTGGTAAACTATGTTTTGTTTGAATTCTAGGATGAAATGGATGTAGATACAAGAACAAAATTAAATTTTTGAAATTGTAGGTATTAGAAATCACTAAAATAATTGGGAGCAAACATTAAAAAACTCTCTAATGCATTTTCTTGGTTGAAATGATTTTAATAGAGATTATTATACATGTAAAATGTATATTATATGTTTAATAATATATAGGACCTTAAAAAATTTAGCTACTCTTGCTTTTTGTTATAATTGTGTTATGTAAAGCAGATTTACGTATGAGTAGAATTCAATTTACATAAGAGATTTTCAATGGATCTCTTCTTAATTTACTACAGGTATCAACAAATAAAAATACTAGACTCTAAAGTGTTATCTCTCTTGGGATTTTGGTTTAAATGACCAGGAAGTAGAGAGGGAAACACAGTGAGTAACCATTTTGGCAGATGACTAATAATTTGCTTTTATTAATAAACAAAGATAAGCATATTCCACAAGGACAGAGAACAAAACTAAAATTGTTATGTTATTTATGTTGTATATTCACTTTAACTCCTGTCCTAAAATGGAATGATATATTTCCATCTCCACACAATTAAGATTAAAATAACAGCTCTACTTTACAATTAATAAATGCAAACACTATGCAAATGAAATTGCTATATGAATAAATTATATCTATTGACATTATTTATGTTACTTGTGTTGACAGATTTATTTTTAATGTTTGAAATTACAATAAGTGAGACTATAGGATTAGGTGTGATGTCTTAGTTTCATTTATAAAATTATTTAGAGTATTTTTTGGTATATGTTTCTCCAAAGTGACAATCACATTCATCATGGGGAATTGTACACAGACCCCAACAGAGTGAAGAGACAACCTATAGAATAGGAAAATATTTTCGACATTTGTAAAATTTTAAGGATGATTATCATCTTAGATGTAATTAAGACAGAGTTTGTTAGAGTTAGGGACTTAATTTATTTGACTTTCTGTCATTCTTATTTTTACATTCTTAGATACTACTATGATACTATTATGCTGAAGGTTATTTTAATTAAAAATAGGTGAACTTTTGACTTTCTTAAAGGTCAAATTTATGTTACTTATGTGGCTTATTCAATTTAACTTCTGTCTTAAAACATCCATAAATTTTTTTACATAACAATTATCATTGGGGAAGGCTTTTATTGTGTTGGGTGGGATCAGCATTTACTATCTTTCCGAGGATGGATAGATACATAGTGTAGTTAAATCTGAACAGATTTTACATACACTTGGCATTAGATTAATAGTACTTACTAGGAAAATTGCACTTTGATAATTGTATCAATGTATATGGACACATCTATACAGCTTTGTTTTAGTTGGAGCAATACCTGTACTATAACAAGTAAATGTGACAGATGCAGAATGGTTTAAGTGATACATGTTTGATTTTTAACTCACAGTAGTATGAAAGAGGGAAACAGCTCTATTCCATGCACTGATTCAGAATCCAGGCTGTCATAAGGTCTACTTTGCTGTCCATATCATGTGACTTCCTAAGTCACCATGGAGGTCGTCTCCACTTCTCCATCTTATAGCTCAGTTTTAGAATTTCCTAGTTCAGAATTAGTGATGTGCTCTCAAATAGCATCCAAGGAAACTGAAATGTAGACCAGTGTGCTCAAGGGGAAATATATATTTTAGTGAACAGCCAAAGGTCTTGCTATTGTTCACCTTTCTGTCACTAAAATAGCGATCCATGCCCTTTTCCCCATTTTCTCCAGGAACAGAATAGAATTTCCTGTCTACTGCATCCACAGCCAGTTTACAGCACTCTCTTAAGTTGGCATATGGCTCTGAGGTTTACAGATTAAAAGTTACCTACCCCTCCACAACCTTACCAACAGAAATTTCTTGCTAATACCCTAACTGTAGTTGTTTTAGGGGACTTCTTTTGTTACTTACTACTCTCTGTAACTTTATCCTTTGGATGGCTCTTTATTCCTGACTGTGCAAAAAGTGGATAGTACATGGGGCTGGGGAGTTAGCTCAGTGGTCTAGGCACCTGCCTGGCAAGCACTAGGACCTGGGTTCCATCCTTTGTACCAAAAGCGGTGAGGCTGTGCTAACCATAAAAATTGGGTATGGTGGTACATGCCTGTAATCCCAGCGCTGAGGAGGCTGAGATAGGAGGATCAGTAGGCGTCTGAGCTGTGTAGTGAGACCCTGTACCAAATAAACTAAATAATTTTTTGTATTTTTAGTGGGTAGTACAAACTACAGAGTTTGTCTTCTTTGGGGTATGCTACTTATTGATTTATGAATAGAGGCCCAAGGGTTGGTTTTCATTCACAGACATTTTAGGCTAAGTTTCTGCTTTCTCTTTTTCTTTCTTTCTTTTTTTTCTTTCTTTCTTGTTTTTTTTTTTTTATTTTTTGACGTATTTAGTGCAGGGTCACAGGGTCTCACTACACAGAGTGGACTCTAAGTGAGCCTCCTGTTTTCAGCCTTCCAAGTGCTGGGATTACAGGTGCACACCACCATGCCCAGTCTCAGTTGCTGTCTCAGCGCACCCCAGGAGTGGGGCTGTCATGGCAGGCCAGGGATGAAATCCAGGTCCTGCGTCTGCCTAAGCAGCTGCTTTAGTCTGCTGAGCTATCTGGCTGGCCCTAGTTTTTGCTTTCTTGGTAAATGTAGTTCCCTCAAATTTTACCAATCTGCTCACCATCTCTAGAAAGTTCCACGTATAAAAATTGCCCTACAGTTTCTTTCCGAGATATCATTCTTGTATTAGCTTTGTTTTAACAATGCAGAACTCTTTATCCACCCCTCAATAAGGTCTACGTTGAGGTAAAGTGAGCTAACAGGCTCAGGTGATACAGTAACGCCTTTCATGTCTCCCCGCCCCCAGAAATCTTAATGGTCTGTATTCTTTAAAGCTTTTTTTCAATTTTGTTTATTGCTATTTGGTGGCTTTTCTAACATTCATTTGTCAATTATTATTCTTTTTTTTTTCTTTTTTAAATTTATTTTATTTTATTTTTATGTGTGTGTGTGTGTGTGTGTGTGTGTGTGGCCAGCTCAGCCCACCACGGGGCGGGGCTGGCTGGCATGTGGTGCTGGGGGATTGAACCGCAGTCCCTGTGCTTTGCTAAGCTTGTTCTAAGTAGGTGCTTTAGACCACTGAGCCATCTCACCAGCCCCTATTATTCTTTTATATTTTGTTTGTGGACTGATCAGTTCTTGCCCTACCTTATATTTTTCTTACAACACCTTACTCAAAGAAATAAGGGACAATTTTGGGGTTCCAGTGTTTGTATCAAATGTTTGTATCTGTAACAAATCAAAAATGTGGAATATGTCAGCTACATATAATTTCATTACTTTCTCATAGTTGGTTAGTAGTATGCCAAACAAATTAGTGAAAATACTGTCTTTTACCTCCAGACTAAATAAATTTCCATATTTCTACAAATGCATCTTCCAGGTTTTCTGGGGGCTTATTTCTAGTCAATTAGAAAAGGAAAGAAGAATATAGGATTATCATGGAGAACTTTTAGTGCTCAGGTTTGAAAGTGGCATATCATTTCCATTCAAATTCTTTTGATAAGAACTCAGTTATCAATCTAAATTAAGGCTATGAAATAGAGTATAATAGTGAAGCAAAACAGAGTATTGATTTGGTGAGCAGATTATAGGCTCTGCTAGAATATTTAAATTCAATCAAGATAACAGGATTTGAAAAATACTCTGAGGATTAAACAAGTAGTGCCTACAATGTAGTAAGCATGATTGTATTAATAAATGATAGTATTTATTCTTTAAGAGAGACAGAATGAGAACCAAAATTTCTGCACTTTAGCTACAAATGTCATTTAAAAATGAGAAGATTCAAATGTCATTTAAAAAATACTGGAGATTCAAACATTAGCCTTCCTTTCCTGCACAAGTTAGTAGGTAGTTGGAAAGAATCACAGCACTGCGAGCAGGCTGGCCTTCCAGTGCCTATCATTTAATAATGCATGATTTTCACACTTACGGATAATGTACTCGTACAGTGTGGTTTAGCTGTGCATTGATAGTTCTTGATGAAAATGAATGTTCCCAGGAACAAATAATTGGGGAATTTAATAACCAGCAATTGTATCCTTGATAATTTATTTGAAATAATTTTGTGTTCTTTATGAATTTCTAATGGGAATAAGCCAAAGGCATTTTTACACATGCTTTAAAAATGAATTTTAAGGAATGAATTATTCCTGAAGTTTGTAGATAGTATTTTTAAAGGATTTCATTATAATTCTTTTCCTTCTTTTCAGAAGGCATTTTGGAGATCAAAAATGGGTAGAAAAGATGCATCCACTACAAAACTTCCTGTTGATCAGTACAGAAAACAGATTGGTAAGTGATGAATTTCTTTTGACACACTGCTGTGAATTAAGATAAAGAAAAAATATAGATGATATTAAGAAATAAATTTTCCTCATGTACACAATGAACAGAAATATATGAATAGAAAAAGGCTTTATAGAGCTTTTAAGAACAAAAAGGAAATAGCCCTCTCTAACAGCCAGTGAAGACACACGCTTTGTTTATGATTTGTCAAAGCCCTTATATTGTTACTAGTTTAATAAACATGAAATACATTTACTAGTTTAATATTAGATGTTTTAATTCTGTCAGTATTGCTAGTATCATTTATTAAATCACGGCTTTTATGTAAAAATTTTTTCTTTACTTTTTTTTTTTTTTTTTTTGATAGAGCCTCGCTACATAGCCCAGGCTGGCCTTGAACTCGTGGTGATCCTTCTGCCTCAGCCTCTGACACAGTGTGATTCCAGGGTGGCACCACCACACACGAGTATCTTTACTCTTCATGTGAATACTGTGATAACTTCAGAATTATTCATTAAATATGCTGAATAAAATAGAACATATGTTCTTTCTCATGTAGAAATGAGTGGATTAGAAAGTAAGAGAATTCTTCAGGGATCATAAATGAAAGCTTAGAGAAAAGACTGGATATAAAAAGACCTGGGGCATGGAATTAAGGCTACAAAGTACATACCTGGATGATGGGGTGTGCAATATGTTAGAGAAATACTGAACTAGAGAAAAGCCCACTTAGAAATTTATCTGTTTCATGGAGTGCTTTGGGAAAGAGTTTTCTTATCAAGAATACATGAAAGGGCCAGGGAGATAGCTCGGTGGTCTAAGTGCCTGCCTGGAAAGCACAAGAACCAGGGTTTGATCCCCGGTACCACATTCCATGATGCTGTGCCAGCCACTGAAACTGGGCATGGTGGCACATGACTGTAATCCCAGTGCTACAGAAACTGAGACAGGAGGATCATTACGAGTTCAAGCTGTGTAGCAAGACCCTGTACCAAATAAATAAATTAATTAAAAATTTAAAAAAATAAGAAAAAGAATACATGAAATATTTATTTAGAAAGAATACTCATGTACTAGATCACAAGGCAAGATCTTCACAGTTTAAAGACTCAATATCCATGAAACATTCCTTGGTGAAAAAGTAATAAATTAGAAATTGCTTAGTGGCAAAAGATGACATTCCTTTTTCCAGTCATTTCTCTCTCACTTTATGCACTTTCTACCCAGCTGTATTATGTTTTGGAAAAGAAAACATCGTAAATTAATAAAGAATAACTTGTCAAGTAACTGAAGAATACACAAAGAATTTGCAGTGGAAGTAGAGAGTAAAAAACAATGTTGTTGAAATATGGTAGTCATGTATTTCATTATTTTTAAAAATGCATTTGGGGCCCGGGAGATGGCTCAGTAGAATAAGTGTTTGCCTGGCAAGCGCAAGGGCCTGAGTTCAATCCCTGGTTCCACAAAAAAAAAA